ACATTGGTGCTGAAGCTGTGGCTTGTCCCGCAGTCACAGCCCCGTCCAGTTTCCCTGCTTCTGAGCTCCCCTTACTTCACATCCTTTTGCCCAGTGAGAGTCACTGCCACATTTGAAACAATAGTCACAGTGCCTGTTTTCTTGTTGACATGCACAGCATCACATGTTTGGTCTGTGAGCTGACTTTCTGTACACCCTGGCTTGCCTATCACCGTCACCACTTCTATCCTGTTGGACAGTTTGTACTAGTGAAGCTACCTGTCCTTTAAGTTCCCTGATTGCTGAGTTACTTTCATCAATTTTTGCAAATAAGGAGTTATCTTTGAGGGGTTTTAGCCGGTTTTGTATCAGGCTGGCTTGTGCAGAGATCACTAAGCGCTACATTCTGCTCAACTACATTTAGTCCTGTTCTAAAAGACCTGTGGGCTTTTGCCTTTAACGCTCTTTCCCTTTCATTGTACTGGGCTGTTTGCATTTTCATTAATAAGAGTTCATCGCTACAGTTTTCATCCTGTAAATATACTCTCATTTCTGCTCTGACATTGTCATTTAGAAGACCCGTTCTAATGGACTGAAAACATTGACTTTGAACAAGTTCTTTGTTGTACTTCAGGCTAGACTGGGCGCCTTCAGGTGCAAAAATTATTTTTTGACGCAAATCCAGCACTCTAATCAGGAACTCAAGTGGTGTAGCCTTGGTTAATTGCTGATACAGTACTGTTGCATCCATTTCTGCATGATGGGCTTTTAGAACTTGTCTCAGGCTGGTCAATGTGAGATCCTCTTTCCCTCCCAAATAGCTCCTTAATTTTAACCCAGGACTGATGGGACGTATGATAGCCTCCACAATCTCAGCTTCAGAGTAGCCCGTTTTTAAGCCACTTTCCATCTGGTGCTCTAAGCTACTGAAACTCAGCGTGTCTTTAGCTGCTGACTCACCCAAATATCTACTTATCCTGAAGTCTTTTCTGAATCCACCTGATGAAACTGTTGCCAATGCAGTCTCTCTCCCTGCGCTGTGTTTCGCCATCCAGCAACGTCCTCATGGCCACCTGATGCTCCAGCAATGTCATCGGGCCTGTCCGCCGCTCCGGAGGTGCCCGCTCCGCTGTGAGTTGCCCCTCATGTACAGCCTCTGCCGTCATCCCCGCTCTGTCTGAAGACCGGGCCGCCGCTCCCGCACCAACAGCCGCTGACCGCGCCTCCACCAGCAAAGCCAGCACATCATTTAGCTCCAGAAGCACCGACATGCCTTCATCCTCTCGTTGGAAAAAATCTTCTCGTTCACAGAACTGGCTAATAAGCTTAACGAGAGCTCTGCGAGATTTGCTTTGTATTTCTTCGTTGTGCTTTTCTGTAATATTACATAGTTCACATACTCTGAGCAGTTCTTCCACAGAAAGTCCACATAACTTCTGCTCCAACTCCAACAAAATATCTTCACGGTCCTCAGACATGCTTGAAAGAAAACTAGGACGATGAGGACCATGGCAGTTGGGCTAAGTGCAGTAGATGCTAGTTTTCTACGGACACTCTACTGGGCAGCTCTATAGCTGCCTGGAGGGAGCAAGTGAGGGTTGGCAAGCTTGCTCTCTCTATCTCCACCTCCACTTCTTCAGTGTTTTCTGTTTTTGATCTCTGGGTCCTCCGGTTTTCCTGGCCTCCTGCGCCTTTTGTGAACCTTTTTTTTCTTTGTTTGGCTGTTTTGACTTGTTTTCTGGGCTCCAGTGTTTTCTGTTTTTAAACTCTGGGTCCTTGTGTTTAGTTTGTCAGAGTTGGGCCTTCTGGTTTCTATTCTGTTCCCTAGTTGCTGAATCCCTGTGTCAAGTCTGCGTCTCTGTGTTATGTTTCCTGTTTTACTTTGAAGGTCCATGTCTTATGTTAATGCATCTGGTTTTGCTTCCTTTGTCTCAACAGCCCTGATTTGTCCCAGCTGTGTTTTCCTCCTGTCTCTCATTCCCTGATTGCTCCCTCTGTGTATATTAGCCCTGTGTTCTCTTTGGTCTGTGTCGCGATCTCCCCTATCTACCCGTACCTTATGCTGTGTGTTTTACCTGCCTGCCTGTGTTTATTCTTTGTATTTTGGAAGTTTGTTACTTTGAGTTCAGCATTAAAGCTGTTTTTTGAATTAACGTCTGTCTCCGGAGTCTGCACTTTGGGTCCTTTCCCTGCCTGCACACAGCCGTTACATAACAAAAATGGTTCTACAAGCTAATGAATTGTGTGGTATTGTATTCTGCATTCTGGCTTAATATTTATTAAATAAATAACAACAATTAATATGTTGCAAGTAATTTTTTTATCTGAGTCTGTATATTTAAAACCAGTTCAGGACTAGATCATTTTTATTATCTCCTGATGTTAAAAAAAAAAAAAATAGACTCCATGACTGCATTTACAGCCATGGTAAAAAAAAAAAGAAAGAAAAGAAAGCACATCATCTTTCAGTTATATCTGATTAGCCAACTACCATTAGTAAAAAAA